GCCATGGTGATCCAGGTGTCATCTACAAAGGAAGACACGGAACTATGGCTTACATCTCTGTTGCCAGAAGTTGGTAGCAAGCTCTTCTGAAAAGAACCCATTCTACATTAATTAAGTATACATTAATGCTGGTAGAATTACCGACAGTATGCTAAGTAAAAGGACTCAGTTGCAACTGGGAGAGCGAAGCATTGCCATGATAAAATGTTGCACTAGTTGCACTTGTGTCTTTTGACTTAATGTACAAAATCTACCCATCTCAATTTATTTCCACACTACTGTATATAGGGAAATCAATATCAGTTCAAAACCTTCTCTGAAACTTGGTAACTGCAACAGATCACACAGGTATCTGGCAAAACACGCTCTATGACCCTTATGGGTTTAGTGTGTTCAACTCAAACTGTGTAACAAAATACTGCTCATAAAAGGGCCTAAGATCTGGTATTCCCTGCCAGAAGCATTGAAAGACACCCTATCTGACGATCAGTTCAGAACTACGGTTGAAAAGTCCCTCATCTCTACTAATGTAATTGAGATAGCAATACGTCATGTCAAACAAACCCAACATTCATCCAGTTCTGTTTGGTTACCAAAAGCTGTATGACTTGTGTGTTTAGTGCTTTGTTATTTGTGGCAGAATGTGCAGGCTCGAATCCTGTTCTGGACTGAGGGATTATGTTAGCTAATAAAAAAATCTAATGATTATAATTATAACCAGAATTTTTAAAAGGGTGAACTGGTAAGTCAGCGGAATGCCTTGGTCAGATGACCAAAAGCTCCAGCTGCGGATCATCATATGACTTAAGACCCATGTCAAAAAACTCTTGTCCTGTTTCCTGACAAATCTTACCTGCCTACCTTTGTTTTCTATAGTTTTCCATACTCTTGGATATGTCTTTTTTTCTACTGTATCTTTGATGAACTACAGGCTGCCTTTATTCTTTTGCCATTTTCCTTTCTCCCCGACACTTTTCAACTAGGAATTCCATAAACTCGCATAACTTTAAAACTTAACAGTTCACAAATAAATAAATAAATAACAAAAAGGCACAATACCGTGACTGGAACGATACACAAATAACCCGCACATAAAAGAGAGAAGCTTACGACGACGTTTCGGTCCGACTTGGACCATTAACAAAGTCACACTAACAGAGGTGGAGCAGGACGGCTCCACCTCCACTGTACTGCATTCAGGAATTCTTTCATCACTTCACTCTCTCCTCTTCTGAGCTTATATATTTTGTGCCTTTGAGGATAAAATTTTATTTTTGGTAACCAACCAAACTGAATCTAATGTAATCTAATCTAGCTTTCGAGTTAGATATTAGGCTTGGTTAGGTTAAATTAGGTTTTTGTGTTTAGCAGAAAAAAAAAAAATTCCCCCAAAGGCTCCATTGCACAATCAATTTAATAATGTAGAGTTTACATAAAAACCGAGCAATGGAATATTGATTTTTTTAACAATTTGCCCTCAAAATGTCTTGCAAAACCCATTTATTATTATACACTGTTGACTATAAATTTATCACAAAACTCTGTCTAGCATTTAAATTAAATGTTGACTGACATTCGCTGTTGGAGACATTCATTGGTGGAGACATTCATTGAAGACATTCACTGGTGGAGACTATCACTGGAGATATTTGTTGGTGTAGATATTCACTATGGAGATACTGTTCAGTGGCGGAAACATCTACTGGTGAAGATATTCGTTGGTGAAGATATTCACTGGGGGAGATATTCACCGGTGGCGATATTCATTGGTAGTGACATTCACTGGCGGAGACATTTGTTGGTGCAGACATTTACTGACGGAGACATTCACTGGTAGAGACATTCACTGGTGGAGACATTTGCTGACGGAAGCATTCCCTGGTAGAGACATTCACTGGTGGAGACATTCGCTGGTAGAGACACTCACTGGTAGAGATATTTGCTGGTCGAGACATTCACGGAGAGACGTTCCATTCGTTGGTAGAGACATTCGCTGGTAGAGTCATTCGCTGATAGAGACATTCGTTGGTAGAGACATTTGCTGGTAGAGACATTCGCTGGTAGAGACATTTGCTAGTAGACATTCATTAGTAGAGATATTTGCTGGTAGAGACATTCACTGGTAGATATATTCGCTTGTAGAGACCTTCCCTGGTAGAGACATTCGCTAGTAGAGTCATTCTCTCGTAGACATTCCCTGGTAGAAACATTCCCTGGTAGAGACATTGGTTGAGACATTCCATGGTAGAGACATTCACTAGTAGACATTAGCTGGTAGACACATTCACTGGTAGACACATTCGTTGGTAGAAACATTCGTTGGTAGAGAGAGAGACATTCGCTGGTAAAGACATTCACTGGTAGAGACGTTCGTTGGTAGAGACATTTGCTGGTAGAGACATTCGGTGGTAGGCACATTCGCTGGTAGAGACATTCACTGGTAGACATTTTCTGGTAGACATTCGCTGGTAGAGACATTCACTGGTAGACACATTCGCTGGTGGAAACATTTGCTGGTAAACACATTTGCTATTAGAAACATTTGCTGGTCGACACCTGGTAGAGACCTGGGCAGGCCGGACGTGTAGTCCAGTAACTGGGTCCCAGAATTTAACTCCGCCAAATGCCAAGTCATGAAGATCGGAGAAGGGCAAAGAAAACCGCAGGCAGAGTATAGGCTAGGCAGCCGAAGACTGCAAACCTCACTCAAGGAGAAAGATCTAGGGGTGAGTGTAATACCGAGCACATCGCCAGAAGCACATATTAACCAGATTACTGCTGTGGAATACGGGCGCCTGGCAAACCTGAGAATAGCGTTCCAGTACCTCAGTAAGGAATAGTTCAAGACTTTATACACTGTGTACGTCAGGCCCATACTGGAGCATGCAGTACCAGTTTGGAACCCACACTTGGTCAAACACATCAAGAAATTGGAGAAAGTGCAAAGGTTTGCAACAAGGCTGGTTCCAGAGCTAAGGGGAATGTCCTACGAAGAAAGGTTAAGGGAAATCGGTCTGACGACACTGGAGGACAGGAGGGTCAGGGGAGACATGATAACGACGTACAAAATACTGTGTGGAATACTCAAGGTAGAGAGAGACAGGATGTTCCAGAGATGGGACACAGAAACAAGGGATCACAACTGGAAGCTGAAGACCCAGATGAGTCAAAGGGATGATAGGAAGTATTTCTTCAGCCACAGAGTTGTTGGGAAATGGAAAAGTCTGTCAAGCGATGTAGTGGAGGCGGGAACCATACATAGTCAGTGGCCAGGCTTCAAACACCTTTTATTGTACAGCAATAAAGGAATGGAACAGACTACCCACAAATGTCAAGGCCAGTCATAGCTTGAACCAGTTCAAGAAGACTGCCAAAAAGTGTCTGATGAATGAAGCAACAGAAAGGGAGGGGAATGATTTTCTATTTTTTAGCTAAAATACGTGTAAATTTTACCTTATCCCTAGTAATGACCCTCGTATTGTAGATAGTCGTAATGACCCTCGGGTAGTAGATAGTCTTAATGACCCTCGTATTGTAGATAGTCTTAATGACCCTCGTGTAGTAGATAGTCTTTTTAGTATGATAATAAGATGTTATCTTCATTATAGAATAATGAGAAAATATTATAACCTTTATATTATAATAATAAGGTAAAAGGACCCCAATGGAAATAAGTCACTCTGTCTGACTTTTTTGGGTTATCCTAGGTTCTCTACACATATGCTGCTATGTATGATAATTCTATGTAACTGTATTGTGTATACCTGAATAAATTTACTTACTTACTTACTTACTTATAAAGCTCATGGAGCAGGGAGAGGAAAGACCCAGTAGGGGTCAGTGAAGAGGCAGGGCCAGGAGCTGAATCTCGACCCCTGCAACCACAATTAGGTGAGTACATTCGTTGGTAGAGACATTTGCTGGTAGACACATTTGCTGGTAGACATTCGCTGGTAGACATTCGCTGGTAGACAGTTAGTTTTTTTTAGTTTAATATGTTTATTATGCACCCCATACCCATCCTGTGGGCGGTAGTCAAAAGATTACAGAGGTACATAATTGGTCCAGGGACTGGACTCCAAAGTTTTGATAGCTGAGCAAGTTACAGAGGTAATGAACTCACAATTTACAAAGGTAATGAACTCACAATTTACAAAGGTAATGAACACACAATTTACAAAGGTAATGAACTCCAGGTAAGTCTGGTCACAATCATGACAAGTTACAAAGGTATTTACAGATTACAGAGGTACGTAATGGGTCCAGGGACTGGGCCCCCAAAGTTTTGATAGCTGAACTAGGTACAAAGGTAATGAGCTCACAAGTTACAAAGGTAATGAATTCTGTAGAATGGTTACTTACGTTTATACATGGCTACAATCATGAACAAATTATAGAGTAATGAGCAATTCACACTTCCACACCCGGTCACAACTGTAATGAGTTATTGGTGCAAATATTGATTGTTGAGTCACACACACCACACACACACACACACACACACACACACACACACACACACACACACACACACACACACACACACACACACACACACCTGGTGAAGAGGCGGGGCCAGGAGCTAGGACTCGACCCCTGCAACCACAAATAGGTGAGTACACACACACACACACACACACACACACACACACACACACACACACACACACACACACAACACCTGGTGAAGAGGCGGGGCCAGGAGCTAGGACTCGACCCCTGCAACCACAAATAGGTGAGTACACACACACACACACACACACACACACACACACACACACACACACACACACACACACACACACACACACACACACACACACACACACACACACACACACACACACACACACACACACACACTGGTAGACACATTTGCTGGTAGAGACATTTGTTGGTAGAGACTTTCGCTCGTAAAGACATTCGCTGGTAGAGATATTCACTGGTAAGGACATTCACTGGTAGAAACGTACACTGGTGGAGGTGATCGCTAGTGGAAACGGAAGCCAACAAGGAGAATCGCTGGCGGAGAGAGTCGCTGGCAGTGAGTGTTCACCTGACAGCAACACTCAGTCTGGTGTATGTCATCAGTGCAATGTGAAACAATTATGATAATGAAGTGAAGGAAGACGTAAGCCAGGATGTATTACCCGGTGGGTGTGCCGAAGAGACTAAGGATCCCGGGGGATGATGATGGCCAGCTTAAGGCCATCGTGTGCAACAGAGACAGGATCCTCTTTGCCATTCTCACAGAGAGAGCTATCTGGATCTGGTTCAGCAGAGTAAGTCAAGTCTTGCTGGAACTGTGTCACCATAGTCCACCGACTGTAACCTGATCATAAACGTGTTGTAAATAGTTCATTACTACTGTAACTTGCTTAGCTATCAAAACTTGAGGTCCAGTTCCTGGACCCATTATGTGTCTTATTCTTTTGACTAACGTCAACAGGACCCCAATGAAAAGAAGTCGCTTTGTCTGACTTTTTGGGGTTATCGTAATATAATAGTATTTTCATATACTACAAGTACATGTACAAGGCAGACAGGCCTAGCTGACATCAGTGACATACTACAAGAAAACCGCTTGTTATGCAGAGCATTTCAGGCAAATTAGGTCAGTGTTGTCCCAGGATGCGACCCACACCAGTCTACTAACACCCAGGTACCCATTTTACTAATGGGTGAACATAGACAACCGGTGTAAGGGAACACATTCGATGTTTCCACCCTTTCACTGTGAATCAGACCTGGATCCTCACCGTGTGAAGCGAGAGCTTTTGCCACCAGGCCATGGGGCACCGTAATTTACACACGTTACTATGTATGATAATTGTACTTATGTGGCTCTGTATCTAAATAAACTTACAGGATGGGTATGGGATGCATGGTAAAAGTGTTACACTAATTTCATGAGGTGTTCAGACATTTAATTTGAAATGCCAATTCATTAATGCAAAATGAATGTTGAAGCAGCCTAGGCCCAGGGGGTAAGGCTTAGAGACTATTCACTCTTGACATAGCTGCTATTATATAGGCAACTATTTACATATTGCTATTTTTAACTATTTTTAATTCCTGTAAATTCCTTTTACTAGACTAGCATATTTTTTGATAGAATGCCTGCAGTTTTGGAAGCTTCCTTCAATGTGTGTTGTATATGAGGGTTGAATTTCAGGTTGCAGTCAAGGTGTATACCTGGAGAGGGTTTTGGGGGTCAGTGCCCCTGTGGCCCGGTCTGTGACCAGGCCTCGTGATGGATCAGGGCCTGGTCAACCAGGCTTTTACTTTCGGCTGCATGTAGTCTGACGTATGAACCACAGCCCGGCTGGTCAGGTACTGACTTTAGGTGCCTGTCCAGTGCCTTCTTGAAGATAACCAGGGGTCTATTGGTAATCCCCCTCATGTATGCTGGGAGGCAGTTGAACAGTCTTGGGCTTCTGACACTTATTGTGTTATCTCTTAGCGTACTCATAGTGCACCTACTTTTCATTGGGGGGATGTTGCTCTGCCTGCTGAGTCTTATGCTTTTGTAGGGAGTGATTAGTATTTTCAAGGTGTATATTATCATGTATCTTTCCCACCTGCATTCCAGGAATACAATGTTTCCCTAGTTTTGAAGGTTCACATTATCCATTCCATCATTTTTCTAGCAAATGTGGTGGATACATTGTTGTGATCTTTGAAAGTGAGATCCTTTGACAGTATCACTCCCAGGTCCTTCACATTAGTTTTTCACTCTATTGTATAGTTAGAATTTGTTTTGTACTCCAATACAGTTTTAATTTTCTCAAGTTTTTCATATTGGAGTAATTGAAATTTCTCTTCATCGAATTTCATATTGTTTTTTGCGGCCCAGTTAAAGATTTGGTTGATGTGCGCTTGGAGTTTTGTAGTGTTCTTTGGTGGAGGACACTGTCATGCAAACTCGGGTGTCATCTGCAAAGGAATACATGGTGCTGTGGCTTACATTTCTGTCTGTGTTCCTAAAAATTTTCCCTTGTCTTTCCATTCTTTGTAAACTATTTATTTTTTATGTTGAAATGGGTATTTTTGGGCTTTATTCTCAAACAGCATGTCGAAGGTCTTGTCACTATTGAGAGGAAATTTGTTGGCTGCCATCCAGGTAGATATCTTCACAAGCTCAGTGTTTGCTGTTATTGAGGACAATAAGCTCTGGGTTGGATATGATAAATGTTGTGTCATTGATATATCATTGGAAGTTGTGCTAAATGGAATTTGAGAGTCTTGTCTCGCTCCTGGGTTTTTGTAAGTATTCTGGTTGAAATTCTTTAATCTCATTGGTGCAGGAGTAATGATATTTCTTAAAGTTGTGAGACAAGCAGTTCATGGCTTGTACATTTTATTCCACATCATAGTGTTGCATTCACAGTTTGATGGAATTTGAATTTGGAGTTTAAATCATCTTTAAATTATAATGAAAAGAAAACTACTTAGTTTAGTTAAGCGGGAAAGTAAAACAGCACAGAACATCTCTAAATGGAGAGGGCAGAAAGTTCTTTTGCTCCTAATTATTTGATGCCTTCATTGCACCAGTGTCATGTTTCTCTAGGGATACTTAGCACACACACACTTAACCTAAAAAAAAGGCTTTTAAACCCTCAGTTTAATGGACTTTTGAAGCACAGAGCAAAATATGCTGGATCACATTAATTCATTAAATTGAGAACTTACTGCTTACTGCTCTTAGTAACTGAAAAAATAGGTTGTAGCTTTGCTGCTTACTGTGTGTACTAATTTTACAGTGGCCCATGAAAATGGTATTGCCTTTAAACTTTAGAGTCTACCTTCATCAGTCCTGACAGTGGAATTGATAAATTGAAGTCTACTTGGTTAGATTTCATGGTAAGAAAATATTCTTGTTAATTTGTGAAAACATGTTGGATTAAGCTGGTACTTTAATGTTTCTGAATTAAATAGTCAATCCAACCTGTCATAGCAAACAACTTTATTATATGAAAAAAGAACATCCATATTTATGTCTTCAGCATTGTTACTGCATTAACAAACTGACTTTAAACATATAGTTTGTGAAGCAGTCTCATTTTCATTTTGCTTTGTGCATCATTAAGTATCCTATTTCGAAATATCTTGCATTCTATTTCTTTTTGTATATGTATTTCAGCCATGTGTGCCTGTTGTTGTCCATCGTCGATCTAATGAATCGGTCAACACAATTGGGACCAATCAACTTCTGGAGTGGAGGCCTGATTCATCAATGATTGTTGTAGCTGTAAGTGGTCATTGTGATAATAAAGAATATTGAGTAATGAAAATAAGTCACTGACTTTTTTGGGTTATCCTAGGTAATTTACACTAGTATGATAATTGTAGGTATGTGTACATTTGCCTAAATCAACTTGCTAAGGCTCTCATATCTGAATTATTTTTATTTGTTATTCTTTTTAATGTAGTATTTACTTTAAATTTTATATTAGGGGAAGCAGAAAACTTATTCTTTCTTTATTGTAATTTTATGATATTTTTATATGGCTGATATCTTACCAGTGGCTCTTAATTTGTTGTAGACATTGTATGTAAAATTGTAACTTCTCCAGGTATAACCTAAAAAGCATAGATGAAAATTGGATGAATTATTGGTCCATCTTGGACCATTATCAATTGCAAATGAGAAAGAAAAAGGGAAGAAAAGCAGGTCAGAGCAAGGAAAGTGAAGAAACGGTCCTGGCCTGACTCCGGGTTTCTCTTTTTCTTTTTCACTGCTTGATAATTGTGACTTTTATTGTATATTCATGGATTTTTTGGAATCCTTTGTTATGCTGTTTGGAATGGGGAGGTTTAACCTGTTAACTGTCCAAACGTAGATCTACGTTCTCTCGCCCAGTGCTCTGAATATTTTGATTTTTTTTTTTATAGAAATAGAGTGCATTCCTCTACGTGATATGGAATAAAAAAAAAATTAGGGTCAATATTTACCGAGATATGAGCCCATGAAGTTGGCACTTGATGATCACCTGACGGCAACATGGAGCCTTGCCACTTGCAGAAGTGTTGCCAGTATATCTTTTATCTCATTTTTATATTATTTTATATAATTTGTATGTTCTGATAATTGAAATTTATAGTAGTTCTTGTGATTTCATAACCAATCTGTGTTCTGTCACTACGTAATATTAGTACTGAAATTGTACTCAAATTGTCACAAACAAACTGACAGGTCAACATTTACACCTGCCTTGGTCATTTATTATTGTCTAGGAACATACACAAAGTTATTTTTTTTTTTTTTTTATTATCACACTGGCTGATTCCCACCAAGGCAGGGTGGCCCGAAAAAGAAAAACTTTCACCATCATTCACTCCATCACTGTCTTGCCAGAAGGGTGCTTTACAGTACAGTTTTTAAACTGCAACATTAACACCCCTCCTTCAGAGTGCAGGCACTGTACTTCCCATCTCCAGGACTCAAGTCCGGCCTGCCGGTTTCCCTGAACCCCTTCATAAATGTTACTTTGCTCACACTCCAACAGCACGTCAAGTATTAAAAACCATTCGTCTCCATTCACTCCTATCAAACACGCTCATGCACGCCTGCTGGAAGTCCAAGCCCCTCGCACACAAAACCTCCTTTACCCCCTCCCTCCAACCTTTCCTAGGCCGACCCCTACCCCGCCTTCCTTCCACTACAGACTGATACACTCTTGAAGTCATTCTGTTTCGCTCCATTCTCTCTACATGTCTGAACCACCTCAACAACCCTTCCTCAGCCCTCTGGACAACAGTTTTGGTAATCCCGCACCTCCTCCTAACTTCCAAACTACGAATTCTCTGCATTATATTCACACCACACATTGCCCTCAGACATGACATCTCCACTGCCTCCAGCCTTCTCCTCGCCGCAACATTCATCACCCATGCTTCACACCCATATAAGAGTGTTGGTAAAACTATACTCTCATACATTCCCCTCTTTGCCTCCAAGGACAAAGTTCTTTGTCTCCACAGACTAATAAGTGCACCACTCACCCTTTTCCCCTCATCAATTCTATGATTCACCTCATCCTTCATAGACCCATCCGCTGACACGTCCACTCCCGGATATCTGAATACATTCACCTCCTCCATACTCTCTCCCTCCAATCTGATATCCAATCTTTCATCAATTAATATTTTTATCCTCATAACCTTACTCTTTCCTGTATTCACTTTTAATTTTCTTCTTTTGCACACCCTACCAAATTCATCCACCAATCTCTGCAACTTCTCTTCAGAATCTCCCAAGAGCACAGTGTCATCAGCAAAGAGCAACTGTGACAACTCCCACTTTATGTGTGATTCTTTATCTTTTAACTCCACGCCTCTTGTCAAGACCCTCGCATTTACTTCTCTTACAACCCCATCTATAAATATATTAAACAACCACTGTGACATCACACATCCTTGTCTAAGGCCTACTTTTACTGGGAAATAATTTCCCTCTTTCCTACATACTCTAACTTGAGCCTCACTATCCTCGTAAAAACTCTTCACTGCTTTCAGTAACCTACCTCCTACACCATACACCTGCAACATCTGCCACATTGCCCCCCTATCCACCCTGTCATACGCCTTTTCCAAATCCATAAATGCGACAAAGACCTCTTTAGCCTTATCTAAATACTGTTCACTTATATGTTTCACTGTAAACACCTGGTCCACACACCCCCTACCTTTCCTAAAGCCTCCTTGTTCATCTGCTATCCTATTCTCAGTCTTACTTTTAATTCTTTCAATAATAACTCTACCATACACTTTACCAGGTATACTCAACAGACTTATCCCCCTATAATTTTTGCACTCTCTTTTGTCCCCTTTGCCTTTATACAAAGGAACTATGCATGCTCTCTGCCAATCCCTAGGTACCTTACCCTCTTCCATACATTTATTAAATAATTGCACCAACCACTCCAAAACTATATCCCCACCTGCTTTTAACATTTCTATCTTTATCTGTAGTGTAAAGCACCCTTCTGGCAAGACAGTGATGGAGTGAATGATGGTGAAAGTTTTTCTTTTTCGGGCCACCCTGCCTTGGTGGGAATCGGCCAGTGTGATAATAAAAATAAAAAATAAATCTTTATCCCATCAATCCCGGCTGCCTTACCCCCTTTCATTTTACCTACTGCCTCACGAACTTCCCCCACACTCACAACTGGCTCTTCCTCACTCCTACAAGATGTTATTCCTCCTTGCCCTATACACGAAATCACAGCTTTCCTATCTTCATCAACATTTAACAATTCCTCAAAATATTCCCTCCATCTTCCCAATACCTCTAACTCTCCGTTTAATAACTCTCCTCTCCTATTTTTAACTGACAAATCCATTTGTTCTCTAGGCTTCCTTAACTTGTTAATCTCACTCCAAAACTTTTTCTTATTTTCAACAAAATTTGTTGATAACATCTCACCCACTCTCTCATTTGCTCTTTTTTTACATTGCTTCACCACTCTCTTAACCTCTCTCTCTTTTCTCCATATACTCTTCCCTCCTTGCATCACTTCTACTTTGTAAAAACTTCTCATATGCTAACTTTTTCTCCCTTACTACTCTCTACATCATCATTCCACCAATCGCTCCTCTTCCCTCCCGCACCCACTTTCCTGTAACCACAAACTTCTGCTGAACACTCTAACACTACATTTTTAAACCTACCCCATACCTCTTTGACCCCATTGCCTATGCTCTCATTAGCCCATCTATCCTCCAATAGCTGTTTATATCTTTCCCTAACTGCCTCCTCTTTTAGTTTATAAACCTTCACCTCTCTCTTCCCTGATGCTTCTATTCTCCTTGTATCCCATCTACCTTTTACTCTCAGTGTAGCTACAACTAGAAAGTGATCTGATATATCTGTGGCCCCTCTATAAACATGTACATCCTGAAGTCTACTCAACAGTCTTTTATCTACCAATACATAATCCAACAAACTACTGTCATTTCGCCCTACATCATATCTTGTATACTTATTTATCCTCTTTTTCTTAAAATATGTATTACCTATAACTAAACCCCTTTCTATACAAAGTTCAGTCAAAGGGCTCCCATTATCATTTACACCTGGCACCCCAAACTTACCTACCACACCCTCTCTAAAAGTTTCTCCTACTTTAGCATTCAGGTCCCCTACCACAATTACTCTCTCACTTGGTTCAAAGGCTCCTATACATTCACTTAACATCTCCCAAAATCTCTCTCTCTCCTCTGCATTCCTCTCTTCTCCAGGTTCATACTCGCTTATTATGACCCACTTCTCGCATCCAACCTTTACTTTAATCCACATAATTCTTGCATTTACACATTCATATTCTCTTTTCTACTTCCATAACTGATCATTCAACATTACTGCTACCCCTTCCTTTGCTCTAACTCTCTCAGATACTCCAGATTTAATCCCATTTATTTCCCCCCACCGAAACTCCCCTACCCCCTTCAGCTTTGTTTCGCTTAGGGCCAGGACATCCAACTTCTTTTCATTCATAACATCAGCAATCATCTGTTTCTTGTCATCTGCACTACATCCACGCACATTGAAGCATCCCAGTTTTATAAAGTTTTTCTTCTCTTTTTTAGTAAATGTCTACAGGAGAAGGGGTTACTAGCCCATTGCTCCCGGCATTTTAGTCGCCTCATATGACACGCATGGCTTATGGAGGAAAGATTCTTTTCCACTTCCCCATGGATAATAGAAGAAATAAAGAAGAACAAGAGCTATGTAGAAAAAGGAGAAAAACCTAAATGTATGTATATATATATGCATGTCTGTGAAGTGTGACCAAAGTGTAAGTTGGAGTAGCAAGATATCCCTGTTATCTAGCGTGTTTATGAGACAGAAAAAGACACCAGGAATCCTACCATCATGCAAAACAGTTACAGGTTTCTGTTTCACAGTCATCTGGCAGGACGGTAGTACTTCCCTGTGTGGTTGCTGTCTACCAACCTACTACCTACAAAGTATATACATGTATAGGTCCCAACAATGTTTTAGACATGCTGAAGTATATATGAAACTTCTTGAAGGATGGTGTTAAAATGAGTATTACTAAACTGCTGACAGGGTAAGCAGTGGAGTGACACTTGATGATCTTGCACTGCTGCATGGAACCCTGGCTTTATTTGTTTTCATTGTTACTCATAGGCACATCTGTCTGTCTAGCTATGTTTATCTGCCCGCCCGCCCGCCAGCCAGCCACTTATTACACATTCTAGAAATGTTTCTTTTTACTTAGGGCATAGGTTATAAGACATTCTGGCAACATGACACTACCAGTGGTACCAAAATTGAAAGGGTGTTGCACAAATATTGCACGTGGGTTATTATCGAGGTATTTGATATTTCTGTGACCACTTTTGGCCACATCCACCTCAAAGCCACCAAACTTGGGGTCAACATCACTTTCCTCTTAAAAGGGAAGTGTTAATACGACATGACATCAGTGAATCCTTGGTGTTTGCCGCGTTGTTTGCTCTAGCTGGCACTGGTGCTCCCACAAAGTACTAAGTGATCCCAAATTTTTTAATATTGTGCATACTGAGTGTTAAGACCCATTCTATGCTGACCAGGCATCTCAGGCCAATTGTGGCAAATTTGGAGGCAAGAAAAATAAAACATAGATCTACGTTTGGGTTAAAGCTCATTAGTATGAGGATTCTGAAATATTTATTTTCTGATTTTTAACAATTTGAAGCAAATAATTTCATCATGGTGAATGTCTTGTTTGGGGGATTTCATAGTCACATTACACACAGTATCCATAATTTATGTGATATTTGACAATCAACAGAACTTTACTAAATATAAAAATTTAAGTAAAATGTGCATTATTTATTACAAGAATAATACTTTCATTCAGAATAATAATAGTATCTCAATTTTTTCTAAGTTATTATTTTTTCAGACAAATAAAAATCAGCTGCTGTTTTATTCAATTACTGTGGATGAATCTCGACGGGAAGTATATGAACAGCGGGATCCACCTAATCCAACGTTGAAGCGAGAATCAGCAGAACTCTATACTTGTGAATCAATACCTCCTCTTATGTTTTCCACGGTCAGTCCAAGTACATTTACGGGGCTTATTTTGCATATTTGCTCTTGATTAACCCTTTGACTGTTTCAGGCCCCTCTCTGAAACTGTCATTCTATGTCGCTCAATTTTTGAAAAAAAAAAAATTATTTTTTCTTATGAAATGATAGAGAATCTTTTCCCGATGGTAATGACACCAAAAGTTCGAAATTTGGTCGAAAACTCATGGAATTATGCTCCCACGAAGTTAGCGGTCTCGGTGACATATGTGTATCGGCGATTTCGCCGACTTTGAGCCCTATTTTCAGCCAATTCCATTGTTCCAGTTGACCAAACTCATAGCTATTTCTTTAGAACTCCATTTTATCTATCAGCTGAGTACAAGAAACCTCCCATTTACTAATTTGGACTACCCAATATGGTGGTCAGAAATTGGCAATTTGGCCAATTTCACGCAGAATAAAAAAGATGCCAATTTCAAAATAGGGTCCAGAATAAACAAGGTAGATATTCGTGGCACTAAAATAACATATGCTCTGTTCATTAGTCACATCTCTAGGCCCCTCTTATATTATTATTGCTTTCTATTTTGATTTTTTATTCATACAAAAAACTACAAAATTTACTGTTATGCACACGACTGCATTATTGTAAAAATGGTATAAATAATATCAGTGCACTAGTGAAAGAATATTAGACTCCCCAGTTGACGTGTATTGGACGTGTGGTGTGATTTATTTACTCTTCAACATTGGTAAAAATCGAACATTTCCGCTACTTTGAGCTCAGTTTCAAGGTCGTTTTCATCGTAAAAGTAATGAAAATCATCTCTATTTCTGTAATATGTTTTCCATTTTATCACCTAAGACCATGAAAACGCGAATACAACGATAAATACTATACGAAAATACACCTCAAAGTCGGCGTTTTATTCCAAAAAAACGATCAGTTTTTTTTTTCTCATTACGCAATGTGTGCTGCAGGATTTTTTTTATGTGGTGCACACTGACCACACAGACCCATTCTCTCACATGTGGGCCTACCAGCTTTCTCCCACTTGATTTGAAGCCGCTAGAATTATTGAGTATATATACGTCAGAAACATTGGCTCGTAAGACGTATTTATACGTCGAAAACAGTCAAAGGGTTAAAAATTTATTTTATTATGTTTTACAGTTTACCATAGGATGTATATATTGCATTGTCAGATGTTCTATTTGATTACAGTAATTTAGAGTGCATACTGTACATTAAAATAAATGATAAAATTTGCATACAAAAAATTAATGTTCATTAACTGTTAAATTTGCTCGCCCAAAATGTAAACAGTACTACTGTACATGTAGTGTTTGGAGAAGTCCTTACAAAATGACATTAATAATTCAATCTTGCTAGGCTAGAGTGCAGAGCAAACAACAGGAAATACATATCTTTCCAATACACAAATAACCACCATGATGTTTTGGTCCAACTTGGATCATTTACTAAGTCATGCTACATACTGTACCAGTATTTTCTGTTGTTTGTTCTGCATTCTGGCCTAGCAAGATTGAATTATTAGTGTCATTTTTTACATCCTGTTGGGGGTTTAAATTATCAAACTTTTGCAATACATTAAATATCACCATTATATTTGTCCAGTTATGTTGGAGGAGCTGCCGTTATCCTGTATTCATATACACTGTGAATTTGGGAGGATTTTCATCACCTTTTAGTAGGTGCAGTCTTCATATTTGACTATAGTTGTCAAAGTGGGACACAGAAATAATTTGTAAAGCAAGATTTTAATTTTCTTGTCTTTGTACATAGAGGTTTGATTGATATTTGTATGAATTTTTTTGTATGGCATAATACTGATATAGTATTATAATAATGTATGGTAATGTTTTGCAGGGCTCTTCTTGTTTTAATAATAATAATAATAAATGCAAATAGAGGGGTACCATAGACTTTGAGTTTTAGGTACTTGAGGTTCCAGCAGGCTTGTGTGAGTGTGTTGGATAGGGGTGAATGGAGATGAGTGGTTTTCAGTATATTTGCTGTTGGAGTGTGAGCAGAGTAACTTTCATGAAGGGATTCAGGAAAACTGGTTAGCCAGACTTGAGTTTTGGAGCGGCAAGGGCAGTACCTGCACTTTGGAGGAGGAGTGTGGATGTTGCATTCAAATTGGTAATCTGATTGTGATGTCAACACACTTCTGACAAGACGACAATTAAGTGAATGTTAGCAAATGTGTTTTCTTTGGATCACCCTGCAATGGCAGGAGATGGCTGTTGAGTTAAAAAAAAAAATAATAAATGAAAATAATAATAAATGATGATAAAAAATAATAAATGAAAGTGCTGAATGATGATGAAAGTATTTTCTTTATGGGGATTTTCTTTCTTTTTGGGTTACCCTGCCTCAGTAAGAGACAGCTGACTTGTTGGAAAAAAAAAATAACAATAATAAAACACATGTAAGATTTTAAGTGTCTGATATAGTCAAGCACAGTCCCAGTTTGGAAATCTTATTCTTGTAACAGAATTGGAGCTTAAATAATAACCATTGTGTAAAACAAATATGTTAAATAATATATGCATTAACCCCTTGAGGGTCTGTGCTGTAGTTCTACGGCTTTGAAGCCAGTGTCAGTGCCATAGTTTTATGCCATGAGCTCAGCTAATGGCATAGATATGAAAGAATGAGAGATATGGGAGAATGGGTCTATGTGGTAAGTGTGCACCATATAAAAAAAAATCCTGCAGCACATTACCTGGAATACCTGGAGAGAGTTCCGGGGGTCAACGCCCCCGCGGCCCGGTCTGTGACCAGGCCTCATGGTGGATCAGGACCTGATCAACCAGGCTGTTACTGCTGGCCACACGTAATCCAACATACAAGCCACAGGCCGGTTGGTCAGGTACTGACTTTAGGTGCCTGTCCAGTGCCTGCTTGAAGACAGCCATGTGTCTATTGGCAATCCCCCTGTTGTATGCTGGGAGGCAGTTGAACAGTTTTGAGCCCCTGACACTTATTTTGTCTCTTATTGTGCTAGTGGCACCCCTGCTTTTCATTGGGGGGGGGGGAAAATGTTGCACTGTCTGCCAAGTTTGTTGCTCTCATAGGGAGTGATTTTCATGTGCAAGTTTGATACTAGTCCCTCTATGATTTTCCAGGTGCATATAATCATGCATCTCTCCCTCCTGCATTCTAGGGAGTACAGGTTGTGCGACCCTGTTTTTGTTTTACACCAACCACTTTGTGGTGTATTTTTGTGTGGTTTTTCTAGTTCCATTCTTGGTTTCTTGGTCTCATTTGATAAAATGGAAGATATTTTACAGAATTAGAGATGATTTTTGATTGGTTTTAGGACTGAAAATAGCTTGAAATTGAGCTCAAGGCGGTGGAAATGTTGAATTTTTGCCGATGTTCAAGAGTAAACAAGTCATATGTCCAATACATGTCAACTGGTGGGTCTAATATGCATTTACAAATGTGCTGATATTATTTGTACAATTATTACAATATTGCATAACATAAATCTTCTATTTTTTGGTGTGAATGAAAATTCTTTGTCTTCTCTTCTTTCAACAAACTAGCCGTATCCCATCAAGGCAGGGTGGCCCAAAAAGAAAAAAGTTTCTCTCTTCAAATTTAGTAATTTATACAGGAGAGGGGGTTACTAGCCCCTTGCTCCCGGCATTTTAGTACCTCTTACGACATGCCTGGCTTACAGAGGAATTCTGTTCCACTTCCCCATGGAGATAAGAGGAAATAAACAAGAACAAGAACCAGTAAGAAAATAGAAGAAAACTCAGAGGGGTGTGTATATATAGGCTTGTATGTGTAGTGTAAGTATAAGTAGAAGTAGCAAGATGTGTACCTGCAAGCTTGCATGTTGATGAGACAGAAAAGACACCAGCAATCCTACCATCATGTAAAACAATTACACTCTTTCATTTTACACTTACTTGGCAGGATGGTAGAACTTCTCTGGGTGGTTGCTGTCTACCAACCTATTACCTAGGAGAAATTCTGTGTAAATAAAAAATAAAAATGGAATTCATGTGTAAAGCCTGGAAATGTAACTAATGAACAAAGGAAATGTTATTTTAGTGCCAGGAATACCTGCATTGTTTATTCTGGACCGTATTTTGAAATTGAAATATTTTGAAATGTGCGAAATTGACCAAATTACTAATTTTTGACTATTGGGCAGTTGAAATAGCTGATTGGGCAGTTTCTTGTGTGCTGTTGATTGATAAAATGGAAGGTATACTAGCAAAATTGCTAATAATTTGGTTGACTAGAACAATGTAATTGGCCTAAAATAGTACTCAAAGTGGGCAAAATCGTTGATATGTAAAGATCGCTGACACTGCAAAATTCGTGATAGCACACTTTCGTCAATTTTCTGTCAGATTTCATACTTTTTGTTTTATTACCTTCAGAAAAACATTCTCTACCATTTCATAATTTTTTTTTTTTTTTACCCTGGGGACAAATTTAAGATTGGGGGTTTGGACCCTGAAGGGGTTAATAACATGCAATATATAGAGTGCAGTACTAGCTAAAATCTTGCTGTTCTCTTAACTTATATTATGTGATTGTTATAAAATGGTGCATAATAACTGTAGTGATGTGGGAATAGAAAGTGTGCTGATGGTTGATTTAGTTGTGATGCTTGTGAGTGACTTGGGAGTCATGTCAATGGATACCTGTTCCTTGTCATGTTCTTCAAGGTTAGTAATGGGGCTAGTGTTAGGAAAGAGAACACTGCTTGACCATTTGCACCATCTGGAGGCTTTCTGAAACATACATTGAATTTGCATTTTGTATCTCATGTTGTGCTTGGATGGCATAGTTTTGTAACATCTGCATTAATAAAATTAAGGTTTCTTTGTGAATCTTGTTAAACCTTTGGGGGGTGCATGCCTTCTTGCGCCCATAATACGTGAACACGTTACCCTCGAATTCATACTAAATGGCATCTTGAGTGGTAGGTAGAAATATCCTCCAAGGCACCAACATGATGGAACCTAACCCCCCCTCCTCCCAACCCCATCTGCACCACCACCATCATAAATGTTGCTGAATCAAGTAATGTACATGAGCAGTTGCTTCGTCAGTGAAGGTATTTCTTCCCTCTTCCTCAGGACACCTGCATCCATCCCTCTGTCATTTGGTAATACAGTGTCAACATAAGCAAAGCATTCAGTGGATGTGGAGATACCTAGAGATGTGCAAGTATAGTGAGAGTAAATGTTGGGGCTGAGGATGTGTTTGTATTTTACCTGATCATGCATCAGTCAGTCTTGTTAGTAGAATAATTTAGATTTCTTTAGTTTATATTGTGATGTCTTAGGAAAGTTCATTTAATGCAAATCCTATAAGTAGTATGACATGTACTTTGTGTAATATTAATAGCAATTAATGTATAATATAAAATTTTTTAAGGCCTTTGAAACTGAAGTAGCTGGAGGAGTTAAAGGCCTGGTTTGTTTACGTGATGAGTTGATGGTGGCTACAGGCACTGGTCATATACAAAGACTGCGTTGGGATGGTTCACTAAATTATGATTACTGTGTGGACCTACGCAGGGTTCCCTTCTGTGACGATCAGCTAGTTATGAAAGGTAAGTTTTTCATGTTTCACTTAAGTAGGGCTAAAACATATGCTTAAGAGTGGACAGTGTTCAGTTTGTATCTACTATATTTTAGTTTTTGTAGACTATGACTTAAAACATGATTTTCATATCTCCATGTGCCCTCCTGCAATTAATGTATCAACATTTCTTTTATCAAATGTTTGTTCCACCCTCAGTTATAGGAATAATAAATGAAAATAGAATTTGAATGATAAATGTAAGTCTTAAAAATAAAAGCTCTTTCTTTGATGGAGACCAAGGGGCCCATTTTGCAATATGGTACACCTATTCTGATAGCACCAGGAGGTCTGCTAAGCTGCAGTAAAATTCTAGTTTGTCAGTGTTCTAATTATCAGTATCAGCTTGGGTGGTGCACACACATCAGATGGTGATTTGTACAGATCACACTTGTCAGTCAGCAACTAGAGACAAGATAGCTAGGAGGTGGGGGGCCTTCTGAATGTAGGGCCAGGAACCGATCCTGAAGAGACTGGTTGAATATCTCATGGCTGAGGGATGCAGCCCAGCACAGGCCAAATCATTGGATGTGCTTATGATTCATATATGCAAGAAAGAACACAAGAGATGGCCAGCCCTTGCCTAACAGGGCCACACAAGGATCTACTTATGCTTTGCAAATGTAAGGTCTTGCTTGCACATGTAAGATGGGGGTTAAAACCTGACAGCATAATGCAGGTGACCTAAGTTGCTTTCTATTGAAAACCTTAGATTTCATTAAAAGAGGATAATCTGGTGGATAAATGGAAAATGGCACATAGTGCCAATATTTATAAAGGAGGATCCCTTGAGTCCAGGTCTATCTTGCTGACTGGAGAAAAATGGATAAAACACTTGGAATTCAGAAAACTACTACGTGATTAGCAAAAAGTAGTTTTTGATATGCAAACTCCTGTATATCATCAGCATCATCTATTATGACAGACTCAGAACTTAACATCCCTGAACATTTAACACATTTGCAGTCTCCATCAAAGGTAGGGTGGTCCAAAGAAGAAGAAACACTCACTTCACTCCATTGCTATCTTGCCAGAGGCTCACCAACATTACAGTCCAGCTGCCTCTCCAAACTGGTACAGTGCAGGCACTGTTCCTCACATCTCCAGGACTCAAGTTTGGCTAACCAGTTTCCCTAAATCCCTTTATAAGTTTTACCATGTTCACACAAAATCATAAAAACCACTTGCCTACACTCACTCTTATCTAACATGCTCACACATGCCTGTTGGGTGTCCAAGCCCCTCACATTCTAAACTTCCTTTACCCCCTCCAGCCAACCTTTCCTAGGATGACCCCTACCTCACTTTCCCTCTGCTACAGATTTATACACCCTCCAGATCATCCTATTTTGCTCTATCCTCGAAATGTATAATCTCATTGACCTCCTCAGTCCTCTGGATAATACTTTTAGTAACACTGCACCCCTTCTAATCTCCAAACTACAAATTCACCTCTACCTCCAACCTCCTCGTTGCAACATTTAAAACCCATGCTTCACACCCATATAAGAGTGATGCTACCGCTACACTCTAGATACATTCCCCCTTTTTTTTAGTCTCCATGGATAATGTTCTTTATCTCCACAGACATACATAAATTATAAAAATCACAAAACATTAATATCAACTTAAAAATGATGACATTCGAAGAGAAATGGCAATTGGACTGACAGCTGAATTTTCTGACATGTATCATGGCATACAATCACAAGATAGTTGTACTTATAGAGCTTAGTCACTGTTTTCTCAGTTGCGAGTATTCTTGAGCATTGCAGTATAAGTATGTATGTATGTATATATGTATGTAAGAATGTTGCAGTGAAAAGGTTAAGACTATCATGTTTAAATTTGGCTGTTTGAAGGCTTTTATGTTATGGCAGTCATCTTTGGAAGGGTGAGAAAAATGTGGGAATAATCTGTAATGAGAAGCTTTTTTAAAAATTTGAAGTTTGTCTGTCATAATTTAATTTAACTCACCGTTAGGTATTTTAATGTTTGTGTAAAGGTTAAGTCTTTAATTTTTTTTTTTTTTTATAAAATGAGCCTTTATTTTTGGTGTATCATTTCAGCGGTTCCCCTGGACATTCCAGGAATACATGTAATAGATCTAGAATATTCTCCTCTGGTGGGAGGCTTTGCAATTGTTCTTAGTGATGGTAGAGCTGCATTTCTCACTGCCTCGACACTTAAATTTGACCCAAATGTAAGTAATACATTGTGTTTTCCTAATTGTATTCTTAATTTTGCTAACATCAAGCAGGCATCATATGTGGGTGTGTTGACTGGAATCATTGGAGACAAGTGTTTTTTGGGGGATTTTTCCTAATTGCATTCTTAATTTTACTAACATCAAACAGACATCAAGTATGAGTGTGATTGGAGTCATTGGAGCCAAGTGTTGTTTGGGGATTTTCTTGCTATTGGACTATGATAAAGCAACATCTTAGAAGGGATTTAAGGAAAATGGTTAGAGATGTTGCTTTTCAGTTGGGTATTTGAGTGATGTCTGTGTACCAGTGTAAAAACTGCCAGTGATTGAGTGATGGTGAATGCATTTACAACTCTGGGTCACCATTCCATTGTGAGAAACAGCTGATGTGTTATAGAAAGGTAGGAGACATGTTTAAACATTAACAATAATTTTTTAACACACTGGTCATCTCCCAATGAGGTAGAGTGATCAAAAACAAGAGGAAGAGATTTCACTTTCACTCATCAGTCACTGCCTTGCCATAAGCATGTGACTTCACAGTTCAAATAGCCCTCAGAAATGCAGTATCCCCACCCTTTGTTCAGAGTGCAGGCACTGTACTTCCCACCAATTTGGTTACATTATACACTAATGATTTGTGTAATGTGATTTCTGGCCTATAAATTTGAATAGATTATGAATATGGATTGAGGCTTACAGGCTTTTAATGGCATTGATAATATGAGGTTTTTACAAAGCAGAAGTGTTATAAGAAGAGCAGAGTATATGGAGAGTAAGAGAAAGGTGAGGAGAGTGGTGAGAGAGTGCAAAAGGAGAGCAGATGATAAATAAGAAAAATTTTTGGAGTGAAATAAACAAGTTAAGAAAACCTAGGGAATGAATGGATTTATCAGTTAAAAACAGAGTACGGGAGTTAATAGATGGGGAGCTGGAGGTATTCGGTAGATGGCGGGAATATTTTGAGGAACTTTGAAATGTTGATGAAGAAAGGGAGGTGGTAATTTCATGCACTGGCCAGGGAGGTATAACATCTTTTAGGAGTGAAGAAGAGCAGGATGTGAGGGTGGAGGAGGTTTCATGAGGCATTACATAGAATGAAAGGGGGTAAAGCAGCTGGAACTGATGGGATCATGATAGAAATGTTAAAAGCAGGGGGGGATATAGTGTTGGAGTGGTTGGTATTTTTGTTTAATGTATGAAAGAGGGGAAGGTACCTAGGGATTGGCAGAGAGCATGTGTAGTTCCTTTATATAAAGGGAAGGGGGACAAAAGAGATTGTAAAAATTATAGAGGAATAAGTTTACTGAGTATACCAGGAAAAGTGTATGGTAGGGTTATTATTGAGAGAATTAGATGTGAGACAGAGAGTAGGATTGCGGATGAGCAAGGAGGCTTTAGAGTGGGTAGGGGATGTGTAGATCAAGTGTTTACATTGAAGCATATATGTGAACAGTATTTATGATAAAGGTAGGGAAGTTTTCATTGTATTTATGGATTTAGAAAAGGCATATGATAGAGTGGATAGGGGAGCACTGTGGCAGATGCTGCAAGTGTATGGAATAGGTAGTAAGTTACTAAATGCTGTAAAGAGTTTTTATGAGGATAATGAGGCTCAGGTTAGGGGCGCCTCACACTTCGCTGCGCGAAATAAAAAAAAAATTGAAAAATTACGAAAATTGAGTTGTTCTTACCAAAAAATAGCTGAAATTTCTGGCTGCACTCTGGTATAATTATCATTTTTATATGATGTTTCTAAAAGGAATTATAGTCATTTATAACAGGCATGGTGACAGCGCCTTGCGTAGCAAGTGTGCTGACACGGCATTTTTTTTTTCCCAGCCTTTGTTATCGTTTTCTTATATCTTTATGGCTAATATAATACAAATTCACCATCTGAGATCATGGCAGAGTGGGTGCAGTTAATATGGTCCAGGAACCAATCAGGAACCTCCCCTGGGAATAGTGCTGAGATGGCCGAAACTACCAGCCAACAAAATATTCTATACCCACGATAATATCAATTATAAGGCTTATTTACCTATCACAATTGATCTAATATGACATAGGGCAATATAATAATAGCATAGAAACATAAAAAGTACACCAGAAAAAATAATATATAGCATAATATGATGCCCGAGAGGCGAAAAAAATCTGGGGATATATCCCATTGAGGTGAAAGACCCATTCTCTCATCACTATGATGAGAGAAAACAGAGATTTACAATGGTTAACTGTAATAAACACTCATAGGTCATGGAAAAAGTGTAAAGAAAGCTAATTTTTCGGGAAAAAAAAATTTCCCCGGGCACCTGGGGTGCTGCACACTTCGGCCTATATCTCGGAAGTAAGTTATTTACCTATTTAGGGTCAATCCATCCTTATTTATGAATGAATTGACTTGATTTTCATAACAAACATAGAAGAATGATTGCTTTGCAAATTACAAAGGTCCTTTCTGAAGTATCCCAAATATTTTTAGATTTGTGTGGGCAACAAGACCGACATCTTCCAAAATGTCAAAAAAGTTATAAAACTTTATTTTTTTTTAGCATGAAGATAAAGTTTATTTTAGAATTGGTGCATTATTTTTGATGGAATTAGAAGTGTTCTATCACCAGCAAGTGTCAAAACCACTTTTGCAAGTACCACTGAGTACAGGCTCGCTGCCAAATGTAATTTTTTGTAAATTTTGCATATTTCATTTCCTTTTTGGCCGATATTTTTGAAACTTCAACAAAGCATGCTCAATATAAGCTTCTAATAGTACACCAAAAATGAACGTAATCAGTTGAAAAATAAAGAGATGGAATATTTAAGGTTGCGGGGCCCCTTACACACAGAGAGAGGGAGATTACTTTCCAGTAAAAGTAGGTCTTAGACAGTTATGTGTAATGTCACCATGGTTGTTTAATGTATTTATAGATGGGGTTGTGAAGGAGGTAAATACTTGGGTGTTGGGGAGAGGGGTGGGATTAAATTATGGGAAATCACATACAAAATGGGAGTTCACACAGTTGCTTTTTTGCTGATGATACTGTGCTTATGGGAGATTCTAAAGAGAAGTTGGAAAGGTTAGTGGACGAGTTTGGGAGGGTGTGTAAAGGTAGAAAGTTGAGAGCGAACATAGATAAGAGTAGGTTGATGAGGGTATCAAACAATTTAGATAAAGAAAAATTGGATATCACATTGAAGAGAGGGAGTATGGAAGAAGTGAATGTTTTCAGATATTTGGGAGTTGATGTATCAGTGAATGGGTTTATGAAGGATGAGGTTAACCATAGAATTGATGAAGGAAAAAAGGTGAATGGTGCATTGAGGTATATGTGGAGACAAAAAACATTATCTGTGGAGGCAAAGAAGGGAATGTATGAAAGTATAGTGGTACCAACACTCTTATATGGGTGTGAAGCTTGGGTTGTAAATGCTGCAGTGAGGAGGCAGTTAGAGGCAGTGGAGATGTCCTGTCTAAGGGCAGTGTGTGGTGTAAATATTATGCAGAAAATTCAGAGTGTGGAAATTAGGAGAAGGTGTGGAGTTAATAAAAGTATTAGTCAGAGGGCTGAAGAGGGGTTTTTGAGGTGGTTTGGTCATTTAGAGAGAATGGATCAAAGTAAGAATGACATGGAGAGCGTATAAATCTGTAGGGTAAGGAAGGCGGGGTAGGTTGGAGAGAGGGGATAAAGGAAGTTTTGTGGGCGAGGGCCTTGGATTTTCAGCAAGCCTGTGTGAGCGTGTTAGGAATAAATGGAGACGAATGGTTTTTGGGACCTGACGATCTGTTGGAATGTGAGCAGGGTAATATTTAATGAAGGGATTCAGGGAAACCGGTTATTTTTATATAGCTTGAGGGGTTTGGGATATTGGCAGTTTGGAGGAATATGTTATACAGTGGAACCCCGGTTTACGATATTATTTCATTCCAGAAGTATGTTCAGGTGCCAATACTGAACGAATTTGTTCCCATAAGGAATATTGTGAATTAGATTAGTCCATTTCAGACCCCAAACGTACATGTACAAACGCACTTACATAAATACACTTACATAATTGGTCGCATTGGGAGGTGATCGTAAAGCGGGGTCCACTGTATATCTTTATATATATGCTTGTAAACTGTTGTATCTGGGTATCTCTGCAAAGACAGTGATTATGTATGAGTGAGGTGAAAGTGTTGAATGATGATTAAAGTATTTTCTTTTTGGGTCACCCTGCCTCTGTGGGAGACTGCCGACTTGTTGAAAAAAAAAAAAAAAATTTTTTTATGAATATGGAGTAAAGGGGGGGGGGGCTTTTAATGGCTTTGATGTACAGATTTTTTTTTTTACCTAATGGTTGTTTCCCACCTAGGTTGAGTGATCCAATAAAAGGAAAGACATTCGCTGTCATTCATTCATTAGCTCTCCTAACAGAAGTGCACAGACATCATAATTTCTGTATGATGATGATAATTTAGTAACAAGTTAGTAATGATAGGTAGCAAATTGTTAATGATTGAAACAACTACTTGTGTTCAAAGTATTGACTAACCAGTCAGTTCCTGAGTAGGTGGCCAGTCTTTCTTTGACATAGTTATTAAATTCCCATCATTAAATAAGCTATTCCTGAAATATGTTACTGTAGTTGATATAACCTCTTGACAGGCCCCCCTAAAAGAGCATTAATATAAACAATAAATTTGTCAAGTTCTCTAATATGTTAACTGAGGGATTGATAGCTTTTAAAAGTGGTAAAATAATATGCACACTTTGTCAGATTATGATTTGTCTGCAGGCAGTACAAGGTATCTGGGCACGGGAACTGGATGATGCGACCTGTGCTGCAATCAATCACAAGTATAGATTATTAGCCTATGGCCGAGCAAAGTAAGTACATAATATAAATTCTTTCTTACCTTGCCCATGTAGAAACTGTATTTTCTGTTCTTTGTAATACGTACAATATATCTGTTGAACATACGTTGTAGTGAAGGCTGTGAGATTGTTCTCTGTGTTGACTACGTCACGTAGTGCTGTGTATGAGACAACTGCATTCTGTATTGACTGCATCATGTAGTGCTGTGTGTGTGAGATTACTGTATTTTATATGTTGACTACATTATGTAGTGCTGTGTATGATACTATTGTATTCTGTGTGTTAACTAGAACTTTTCATTTCGGTGTACCCATTTAACAGTCCATTTTTTTATGTAATTTCTCTAATAAATTATATAGCTACTGTAAAGTTAGTAGTAATTCCTTAATAATTTCAGCTCTCAGGGTGTTGTTTACACGGTAGATGAGGCAACGGGAGGCTTAGAAGTATCTCATAGAATGATCCTCTCTGACCGAGACTATGGAGGCTCCCCAGGAGCTGTCAGTAAGTGCTTTATACATGCTCCCTTTATTTGTTTATAGCTACAGTGTATGCTCACAATATTTTTTTTTTTTTTAACAAGTTGGCCATCTCCCACCAAGGCAGGGTGGCCCAAAAAGAAAGAAAATCCCCAAAAAGAAAATATTTTCATCATCATTCAACACTTTCACCATAGTCACACATAATCACTGTCTTCTCAGAGGTGCCCAGATACAACAGTTTAGAAGCATATATAAAGGTACAGTATATTACATACCCCTCCAAACTGCCAGTGTCCCAAACCCCTCCTTTAAAGTGTAGACATTGTATTTCCCATTTCCAGTACTCAAGTCCAGCTTTATAAAAATAACTGGTTTCCCCTGAATTCCTTCACTAAATATTATCTTGCTTACACTCCAACAGCTCGTCAGGTCCCAGAAACCATTTGTCTCCATTCACTCCTGTCTAACACGCTCACACATGCTTGTTGGAAGACCAAGCCCTTCGCCCACAAAACCTCCTTTACCCTCTCCCTCCAACCTTTGCATGTGCATTTGAAAAGTTTCAACCATTTATAGTGTTGAGCTATTATTTTGGGAAAATATGTTTTAACTTCCTAGGTAATAGATTGGTAGACATCAACCACTTAGGGAGGTACTACCGTCCTGCCAAGTGATTGTGAAACAGAAATCTGTAATTGTTTTACATGATGGTAGGATTGCTGGTGTTTTTTTTTTTTCTGTCTCATAAACATGTGGGATACCAGGTATATCTTGCTACTTCTACTTACACTTAGGTCAAACTACACATGCATGTACATGCGTATATATACATACCCATTTGGGTTTGTTCTGTTTTCTTAATAGTTCTTTTTCTTCTTTATTTCCTCTTACCTTCATGAGGAAGTGGGACTGAATTCTTCTTCCGTAAGCCATGCGTGTCATAAGAGGCGACTAAAATGCTGGGAGCAAGTGCTAGTAACCCCTTTTCCTGTATAAATTACTGAATTTAAAAAGAAAAATTTTCATTTTTGGTCACCTTGCCTCAATGGGATACAGATGGTTTGTTGAAAAAAAAATGTTTTTGCCTCTATGCAGTTCTTTCTTTTCACAATTTTAAATGATGGTTTCATTCTTCCTATCACCAGGGCCAGGAAATCTTTCCCATCTCTTATCAAATTTCTGTGAGCTTAAACTGTTTTTACATGATAAACCATTTGAGTTAAAACAATTCCTCATCCATTGTAATAGTTTGCATTATGTGCTTCCTTTATTTTATAGTTTCTAAATTATTATTTCACAGGGAACTGCACCGAAAGTTTTTTCTAAGGTTCAAGTAAATGCATTCTTTGTATATCCTTTTTTGTTGAGTGTTTAGTTTCATATATGAATACAGCCTCTCTTCACTTAACAGTGGAGTTCTGTTCCTAAGACCATGTCGCTTAACAAATTCGTTGCTAAGTGAGGAGCATACTATAATGGTAGTGGGTTTGTGTCATCTATCTTTGATATTGTTTTAATTTCACCTTTGCACCAATTATAACTTTTCTGGTATATTTTTAAATGTTTATACAGTAGTGTACTGTATATTGTAATAAATAGAATAGAGGAAATCAACTCTAATATACATTATTTAGGCATGCATACTGGTCAGAGAGCCCATCGCAAGTCCGAGGTGTCGATCAAGGAGTACATCGCTAAGTGAGGAGAAGCTGTACATCATTGTTAGTTTCCAGTGGTTTCCGGACAACCAGGCAGTGATGGCTATGTGGGCCTGCCGGTGGTCTGTTAATAGTAAGAGTCTGGCTTAAAAGGGAATCAACAAGAAAGCCTGTTCCTAGGCTAGGCTGCAAGGGTAGAAAAATCCTTGAAACCAGTCATAAATATATGTTACAGGTCACAGGTAGCACATACAACCTTTTCTTGGATACCCTTCCTTGCTATTCTAATGATTCAGCACATGCTATATTTTGTTTTTTAGGAACAGTGCAGAATTTTTTTGCTCCACTTGTGTGTGTGTGTGTGTGTGTGTGTGTGTGTGTGTGTGTGTGTGTGTGTGTGTGTGTGCGTGCGTGTGTGCATGCATGTGCACGTGTGCGTGTGTGTGTGCATGTGCGCATGCGCGTGTTAACAAATATGCTATATACATTACTTGTTTTGCAGCTTATGATTAGATATGTTATTAAATTTATATGAGTAAACAGTCTTACTGTACATATATTTTGGTAAATTTTTCATCTCTTAGGGTTTAACATCAAACCAAATAAATTTTACATTTAAGGCTATATGAAGTGGACTCCTGATGGTACAGTGCTTGGATTAAGTTGGGAAGGTGGTGGGCTTTCCTTGTGGAGTGTTTTTGGTTCACTGCTCACTGTGTCGCTGCGTTGGGATTATACTGAGGATCCACTATCACGAGCCATAACCATCACTAACATGGCAAGTACTTCCTTTTTAACTTTTAACTAGCGAATTATTATGCATTAGGTTTGGAATTGAGACTTCTTTGTGCCTCTTCTATCTCAGTTTTAATTACTGTATATACTATGTGTATACTTAAATTTATTTTGAGATTCAAAATTAATTTGTCTTGGTATTGTAATTTGTAAATACAGTGAAACCTTTAATGAAGAATGGAAACTGGTAAGATTTAAAAAATTCTCAGTAAGTAGGATTAAAATGGATAGTGATTTGTTGTAGAGTGCATATTTGTTTGCAGGAATGGGGTGCTGAAGGCTATGAGGTTTGGTGTATTCAGCAGCATGAACAATGTAAACACAAGCAGCAAAAGAATCGTGATGCTGAATCTTACCATTATCAGAGAAAGTCAGGAGCTTACACAATAAGAGAAGCAGTAGACACAGTCATTTCAGGAAGTAATTTTGATGTAGAAGAGTCTTCCTCTGAAACGAAAGGGCAAACTTCAATACTGCAGTTTTCCTTCATCAAGAGTGCACTCACTGTCAACCCTTGTATGGTAGGTTGTAAAATTTAGTTCTTAATATATTTTTGATTGTCTTTAATGAGAATTTCATTTGTTGAGGGGGATGGTGTTATGTAGAATTATCACCATTAATTACAACTTTTTCTCAATTTATGTCATCACCAGAGTCGTTTAGTGCGGGTGCTATTACAAGGAAGTGATCGTCTCTACCTCAACACCTCAGAGGGCCTCGCAGGTGTTTCTGATATACCACAGGATTCTCTCTCTCTATATTTTGATGATGATGAAGAAGGTGCCTTTGAAAATCCAATGCATCACAAAGATTCACAGTTTAGTGTTGCAGCTAATAAGCAGTGGATAGTTATTCCAATACCTTATAATTATACATCTTCAAACTGGCCTATAAGGGTAAGTTTAATTATACAGTAATATGGTCTACATACAGTTGTATGACTAAATCATGATAGAGTGATATGATAGAGTGGATAGGGGAGCAATGTGGTAGATGTTGCAAGTATATGGAATAGGTGGTAAGTTACTAAATGCTGTAAAGAGTTTTTATGAGGATAGTGAGGCTCAGGTTAGGGTGTGTAGAAGAGAGGGAGACTACTTCCCTGTTGGAGTGTGAGCAGGGTAATATTTAGTGAAGGGATTCAGGGAAACCGGTTATTTTTATATAGCTGGACTTAAGCCCTGGAAATGGGAAGTACAATGCCTGCACTCTAAAGGAGGGGTTCGGGATATTAGCAGTTTGGAGGGATATGTGTATCTTTGTACGTATATGCTTCTAAACTGTTGTGTTATGAGCACCTCTGCAAAAACAGTGATTATGTGTGAGTGAGGTGAAAGTGTTGAATGATGATGAAAGTATTTTCTTTTTGGGGATTTTCTTTGTTTTTTGGGTCACCCTGCCTCAGTGGGAGACGGTCGACTTGTTAAAAAAAAAAAAATTATAATAGTTTTAGGTACAATTAACTCTCAAGTTAAGAGGTTATTTTCCCTTATACCTTGTAACTATGAAATGTGTATCTTTTTGTTTAGGAAAACCCTAGATGGGAGGGTCAAGAGATTTAATTATGACACTTTCTGATTGAATAATGCATTTTTGTGTTGGGGCCCCTGGGAAGCCCACATTGGCTGGGAGCATGACAGAGTCCTAAACTCCACTTTAATTTGTGTATGCTATTGTCACTGTCAGCAACTTTCTTTTCACAATGGATAACCTTTCAGCCTATTCCTCAACTGCCTGCCACATGGTTGGCTGTGGGGATAATGATAGGATCTGATTACTATCCACCTGCTAGCTCTAGATTTTCAAGGGTGACTCGCTGTATAGCTCACTGGGAATGTGACTGCTCAGGCCTGTGAGGCAGGTGCTCATGGGAATCAGAATGTGTGGGATGAGAAGGACTCATATGGAGGTTTGTTGCAAAATGGCTCCTCTTTTAATGCAGGGGTTACTTTGGGATGACCTGCTGAGTGTAAATACTATACCTGTTTGTTGCTACATGAGCAGAGCTCATTTTTTTTTTATCCCACCTTCAGAATTTAATTTATAAATTATTCCATTGTTTTCCCACAACGTTTATGATGATGAACTTTCTAGCTCTGATATTATTATATGTGGTTATAATGTCTCTTCCTTTCCTCCTATGTAGCAGGTCTCTGGGCTTTTTATATCATGGCCACTTGCTTTTTTATGTATGTGTGTGTGTATGTCCTAGGTAGTAGGTTGGTAGACAGCAACTGCCCAGGGAGGTACTACCGTCCTGCCAAGTGAGTGTAAAACGAAAGCCTGTAATTGTTTTACATGATGGTAGGATTGCTGGTGTCCTTTTTTCTGTCTCATAAAGATGCAAGATTTCAGGTACGTCTTGCTGCTTCTACTTACACTTAGGTCACACTACACATTCATGTTTTTTTTTTTTTCTCAACAAGTCGGCCGTCTCCCACCAAGGCAGGGTGACCCAAAAAAGAAAGAAAATCCCCAAAAAGAAAATACTTTCATCATCATTCAACACTTTCACCACACTCACACATTATCACTGTTTTTGCAGAGGTGCTCAGAATACAACAGTTTAGAAGCATACACATATAAAGATACACAATGTATCCCTCCAAACTGCCAATATCCCGAACCCCTCCTTTAAAGTGCAGGCATTGTACTTCCCATTTCCAGGACTCAGTTCCGACTCTATGAAAATAACCGGTTTCCCTGAATCCCTTCACTAAATATTACCCTGCTCACACTCCAACAGATCGTCAGGTCCCAAGTACCATTCGTCTCCATTCACTCCTATCTAACACGCTCACGCACGCTTGCTGGAAGTCCAAGCCCCTTGCCCACAAAACCTCCTTTAGCCCCTCTCTCCAACCTTTTCGAGGACAACCCCTACCCCACCTTCCTTCCCCTATAGATTTATATGCTTTCCATGTCATTCTACTTTGATCCATTCTCTCTCAATGACCAAACCACCTCAACAACCCCTCTTCTGCCCTCTGACTAATACTTTTATTAACTCCACACCTTTTCCTAATTTCCAACACTCCAAATTTTCTGCATAATATTTACACCAACATTGCCCTTAAACAGGACATCTCCACTGCCTCCAACCATCTCCTCGCTGCTGCATTTACCACCCAAGCTTTACACCCATATAAGAGTGTTGGTACTACTATACTTTCATACATTCCCTTTTTGCCTCCATAGATAACGTTTTTTTGACTCCACATATACCTCAAACGCACCACTCACCTTTTTTCCCTCATCAATTCTATGATTAACCTCATCCTTCATAATCCATCCGCCCACACGTCAACTCCCAAGTATCTGAAAACATTCACTTCTTCCATACTCCTCCTCCCCAATTTGATATCCAGTTTTTCTTTATCTAAATCATTTGATACCCTCATCACCTTACTCTTTTCTATGCTCACTTTCAACTTTCTACCTTTACACACATTCCCAAACTCATCCACTAACCTTTGTAATTTTTCTTTAGAATCTCCCATAAGCACAGTATCATCAGCAAAAAGTAACTGTGTCAATTCCCATTTTGAATTTGATTCCCAAAAATTTAATCCCACCCCTCTCCCGAACACCCTAGCATTTACTTCCTTTACAACCCCATCTATAAATATATTAAACAACCATGGTGACATTACACATCCCTGTCTAAGACCTACTTTTACCGGGAAGTAGTCTCCCTCTCTTCTACACACCCTAACCTGAGCCTCACTATCCTCATAAAAAACTCTTTACGGCATTTAATAACTTACCACCTATTCCATATAAATTGCAACATCTGCCACATTGCTCCTCTATCCACTCTATCATATGCCTTTTCTAAATCCATTAAATGCAATAAAAAACTTCCCTACCTTTATCTAAATACTGTTCACATATATGCTTCAATGTAAACAATTGATCTACACATCCCCTACCCACTCTGAAACCTCCTTGCTCATCCGCAATCCTACATTCTGTCTTACCTCTAATTCTTTCAGTTATAACCCTACCGTTCGCTTTTCCTGGTATACTCAGTAAACTTATTCCTCTATAATTTTTACAGTCTCTTTTGTCCCCTTTCCCTTTATATAAAGGGACTATACATGCTCTCTGCCAATCCCTAGGTACCTTCCCCTCTTTCATACATTTATTAAACAAAAGTACCAACCACTCCAACACTATATACCCCCCTGCTTTTAACATTTCTGTCATGATCCCATCAGTTCCAGCTGCTTTACTCCCTTTCATTCTATGTAATGCCTCACATACCTCCCCCACATTTACATTCTGCTCTTCTTCACTCCTAAAAGATGGTATACCTCCCTGACCAGTGCATGAAATTACTGCCTCTCTTTCTTCCTTAACATTTAAAAGTTTCTCAAAATATTCTTGCCATCTACCTAATACCTCCATCTCCCCATCTACTAACTCCCCTACTCTGTTTTTAACTGACAAATCCATACTTTCCCTAGGCTTTCTTAACTTGTTTAACTCACTCCAAAGTTTTTTCTTATTTTCATTAAAATTTCTTGACAGTGCCTCTCCCACTCTATCATCTGCTCTCCTTTTGCACTCTCTCACCACTCTCTTTACCTTTCTTTTACTCTCCATATACTCTGCTCTTCTTATAACACTTCTGCTTTGTAAAAACCTCTCATAAGCTACCTTTTTCTCTTTTATCACACCCTTTACTTCATCATTCCACCAATCACTCCTCTTTCCTCCTGCCCCCACCCTCCTATAACCACAAACTTCTGCCCACATTCTAATACTGCATTTTTAAAACTATTCCAACCCTCTTTAACCCCCCCACTACTCATCTTTGCACTAGCCCACCTTTCTGCCAATAGTCGCTTATATCTCACCCGAACTTCCTCCTCCCTTAGTTTATACACTTTCACCTCCCTCTTACTTGTTGTTGCCACCTTCCTCTTTCCCTTCTACCTCTTACTCTAACTGTAGCTACAACTAAATAATGATCCGATATATCAGTTGCCCCTCTATAAACATGTACATCCTGGAGCCTACCCATCAACCTTTTATCCACCAATACATAATCTAAGAAACTACTTTCATTACGTGCTACATCATACCTTGTATATTAATCTATCCTCTTTTTTTGTAAAATATGTATTACTTATTACCAAATCTCTTTCTACACATAGCTCAATTAAAGGCTCCCCATTTACATTTACCCCTGGCACCCCAAATTTACCTACTACTCCCTCCATAACATTTTTACCCACTTTAGCATTGAAATCCTCAACCACCATTACTCTCACACTTGATTCAAAACTCCCCACGCATTCACTCAACATTTCCCAGAATCTCTCTCTCTCCTCTACACTTCTCTCTTCTCCAGGTGGATACACGCTTATTATAACCCACTTTTCACATCCAATCTTTATTTTACTCCACCTAATCCTTGCATATACATGCATATATATACACACACCCATCTGGGTTTTCTGCTATTTTCTTTCTAGTTCTTGTTTATTTCCTCTTATCTCCATGGGGAAGTGGAACAGAATTCTTCCTCCGTAAGCCATGCGTTTTGTAAGAGGCGACTAAAATGCCGGGAGCAAGAGCCTAGTAACCCCTTCTCCTGTATAAATTACTAAATTTAAAAAGAGAAACTTTTGTTTTTCTTTTTGGGCCACCCTACCTTGGTGGGATATGGCCGGTTTGTTGAAAGAAGAAGAAGTGTTTGTATGTATGTGTATGTATATATGTGTGGGGGGGGTTTGAAGAGGGTTGGAATTGTTTTAAAAATGCAGTATTAGAATGTGGAGCAGAAGTTTGTGGTTATAGGAGGGTGGGTGCAGGAGGAAAAAGGAGTGATTGGTGGAATGATGAAGTTATGGGTGTGATAAAAGAGAAAAAGGTAGCTTAAGAGAGG